TTGGTCAGGCTGGTCTCAAACTCCTGACTTCAGGTGATCCACCTGCCTCAGCCTCCCAAAGTGCTGGGATTACAGGCATGAGCTACTGTGCCAGGCCTTTGTTTTTCTTCTGAGACAGGGTTTTGCTCTGTCACCCAAGCTGGAGTGCAGTGGTCGTAACTCACTACAGCCACAAAATCCTGAGTTCAAACGATCATCTTGCCTCAGTGTCCTAATGTGCTGGGATCTCAGGCATGAGCCACTGCAACTGGCCTCAAACCCAGCTTTCCTATCCCAATCGCAGACCTTTATCAAGTCTAGCCAAATCCTTGATTGCCTCCTAAACGTCCCTTATGAGTGATCTCTTCTGAGTCCTCCCGAATGGAGAGCTCACCACTGGGGTTGGGTCGGTGGGGGGGGACATATTTCTCCCATGGGAAAAGTATGGTTATGGGAAGTTTAAAAGAATGGGATTGGAGGTGCTCTCTGGGGTGTCCTACCGAGCAGCCTGTTGAAGGCCTCGTGGTGTTCAGGGAGCACGGGCGACACTCGCCGTCGCTTCAGCTTCATCTTGAGCCCGTGGAGCGTCTCCACCACCCAGGTCTCCTCAGGCTCAGGGGTGAGTGACTTCTCTGGCTCCTCCTCCGGCTCCTCCTCAGATTTGTCCGACCACTCCGTCCTCCCTTTCCAACAAAAGGACCTATGTGGGGGGGCTGAGATCTACCCAAGGGGCTGAGTAAAGAAATCAGGCCATCATGTAATGCTTCTACAACTGATCACCTTAGACCCCAACTCAAAACCCCAAACCACTCTCCATCCTCCCCAGCCTCGCAGACTGTTGGCTTCTGCAAGTGATCTTTCTTTCTTCTTTGCTGAACCCAATGTGCCTCTCCTTCTCCTCCCCACTATTCCATCTCTCTGTCCTCAGAACATGTCCTCATTTCCTTCCCTGGTCTCTGGCTCTGTGTGTCCCCCACTTCCCCCAGCCTTTTTTTTTTTTTTAAACAGAATCTTGCTTTGTCACCCAGGCTGGAGTGTAGTGGTACGATCTTGCTCACTTCAACCTCCGTCTCCCGGGTTCCAGTGATTCTCCTGCCTCAGCCTCCCAAGTAGCTGGGATTATAGGTGCCTGCCATAATGCCCAGCTAATTTTTGTATTTTTGGTAGAGATGGGTGTTTTGCCACGTTGACCAGGCTGGTCTCAAACTCCTGGTCTCAAGTGATCTGCTTGCTTCGGCCTCCCAAAGTGCTGGGATTACAGGTGTGAGCCACTGCACCTGGCCTGAGTCCCTCCTTTCTTTCCACACACCCTTCTCAAGTGCTCCTTTTTTTTTTTTTTTTTTTTTTTTTTTTTGAGACAGTGTCTCACTCTCTCACCCAGACTGGAGTGCAGTGGCACAACCTTGGCTCACTGCAACCTTCACCTCCCAGGCTCAAGTGATTCTTCTGCCTCAGCCTCCCGAGTAGTTGAGATTATAGGCATGCACCACTACTGCCCAGCTAATTTTGTATTTTCAGTAGAGATAGGGTTTCGCCATGTTGGGCAGGCTGATCTCAAACTCCTGACCTTGGGTGATTTGCCCGCCTCGGCCTTCCAAAGTTCTGGGATTAGAGGTGTGAGCCACTGTGCCCAGCCCCCTTCCTTCTTAGTCAATCCTCTCCCATCTCTTCTTCCTCTAGTCCCCATCACCTGATGGTCCTGGCACTTCATCATCCACCATCTCCGGGAGGGAGTACCCTGAGGTGCCAGGCTGGGGGCTCTGCTCCTCAGCCTCGGGCTGTAGTTGACATCTAGCCATGATCTCTCCCAAACTCTGTTCCCTCCCACAGAACCTAGACCCTGTTCTGTCCAAAGCCTTCTTCCAGACTCCATAGGACCCAGAAGAGTGCGTTCTCTATTCTCAAGTCTGGGGAGAAGTCAAGAGTGGAGAACAGCTCTGAGAAGTTGCTGTTAACCACCTGAGCTCCTGAGTACCCACGGGATCCTGTCCTTCCAATCAGGGAGGCTGGAATCTCTAATGTCATTGGTTGGTCCAACCTGGCAACTAGTTTGAAGAAAAACATGTGTAACTGCTAGGCTGGTCTCCAGTCCTGGAGATCCGGGGTGAACGGTGTCTCCTGCCACTGTCCCAACCTCAGACATTGTCCAAAAGCATCTTCAGGGTCTCCACATCCCTCTGTCCCCTGTCCCAGCAGAGGCTGTGTCCTCTCCACTCAAAGCTTAAAGTGTGTTGGGGTCTCCTCTGTACATGCCCATTTCAGAGTCCAGTCTGGTGGGAGAGGGAGCAGGGTGGCGAAGAAAAGTAGGGTAAGCAGAAATGATGAAACCTTACAAGAGTGAGATTAGGATGTACAAGAGATCCCGGGTACATTGACTTGATGAAAAAGTTACCTCGAAGCACTCAATTTGGCAAAGCTTTTCTGCTGAATGTTTACTGACATACACTGTCCGAGATTCTAGACTGGGGTACACGCGTCCTCTGCCCTAAGGCATCTTTGAGTCCAAGAGACATTTTGAGGACTGAAAATCATAGGAAACTGTCCATGAGCTAACATGTATTTCCAACAGTGTCCCCAGTTTCAGGGAGTCCATGAATCACCTAAAGCCAGTTCCTCCTGTTCAGCTAAGAAACTCTAGTCTATATATCAAGTTTCGTGTCGTGTGTATTGCTCTTAACTCAGAAATTTCCCTACCATTTATGTATTCTTTGAATAAAATATCACGTGTACAAAAAGATTAAGTTAAAAAAATCTCAGCTGTGCACAGTGGCTCATGCTTGTAATCCCAGCACTTTGGGTGACCAAGGGAGGAAGATTGCTTGAGGCCAGGAGTTCAAGACCAGTGTGGACAACATAGCAAGATCCCATCTCTAACCAAAACCAAACAAATCCAAATTGGCCAGGTGTTGTGGCTTGCACCTGTGTTCCAACTACTTGGGAGACTAAGGCAGGAGGATCACTTGAGCCCAGGAGTTAGAGGCTGCAGTGAGCTATGATTGTGCCACTGCACTCCAGCTTGTGCAACACAGTGAGACTTTGTGTCAAAAAAAACTTTTTTAATGAAAAATAAAACAGTTGCATGACATTCAGAGGCCATCCAAAGAGCCTGTGAGTTCCAGCTGGGCACAGTGGCTCATGCCTGTAGTCCCAGCACTTTGGGAGGCCAAAGCAGGTGGATCACCTGAGGTCAGGGGTTTGAGACCAGCCTGGTCAATATGGTGAAACCCCATCTCTACTAAAAATATAAAAAATTAGCCAGGCATGGTGCTGGGTGCCTGTAATCCCAGCTACTCAGGAGGCTGAAGCAGGAGAATCACTTGAACCTGGGAGGCGAAGGTTGCAGTGAGCCAAGGTCACACCATTGCACTCCAGCCTGGGCAACAAGAGTGAAACTGTGACTCACAAAAACAAAAACAAAAACAAAGAGCTTGTGATTGAGTTCCCACACAACTTCCTAACGGGCTCTGAGTCTTCAAGAAGACTCTCGCTCATGGGAACTACACAAACTGAATGAGGAAGCAGATCCCATTGCCGTGGAAGTCCTATTTTAGGAAGCCCTGCTTTTCTGGAGTTAAAATTTGCATTCATATTGCTTTCAACCATCAAAGCTGGTTGGGTCTTTCTACAACAAAACAGTTTACTCTCTCTCTCCTAGTTAGCAGGCTTTCAAATATTAGGTCAGTGTTCTGACCCCATTAAAGTTTCTCTTTTGTGGAATGAAAAACTCTGATTTAACCTGCCTTTAAGCCTGGTTTGCATATTCCTCTCTCTTCCAGCCACCTTGTTTAGACACACTACACTGGGCAGTGCCCATCTTTTTTTTTTTTTTTCTTTACTTTTTGAAACAGAGTCTTGTTCTGTTGCTCAGTCTGGAGCACAGTGGCATGATGCTGGCTCACTGCAACCTCTGCCTCTTGGGTTCAAGTAATTCTCCTGTCTCAGCCTCTTGAGTAGCACATGCCTCCACACCCAGCTAAATTTTATATTTTTAGTAGAGATGGGATTTCACTATGTTGGTCAGGCTGGCCTCGAACCCCTGATCTCGTGATCCATCTGCCTCAGCCTCCCAAAGTGCTGGGATTGCAGGTGTGAGCCACCATACCCAGCTGGCCTTGCCTATCTTAAATGATGTTGACACATTGTCAAAAAATGGGTTAAACAGGGTGGGCATGGTGGCTCATGCCTGTAATCTCAACATTTTGGGAAGCTGAGGCAGATGTATCACCAGAGGTCAGGTGTTCAAGACCAGCCTGGCCAACATGGTGAAACCCATCTCTACTAAGAAAAACAACAACAAAAAAAAAATTAGCTGGGCATGGGTTATGGGGTTGACATGTGTAATCCTAGCTACTTGGGAGGCTGAGGTAGAAGAATTGCTTGAACCTGGCAGATGGAGGTTGCGGTGAGCTGAGATCACACGACTGCACTACAGCCTGGGCAACAGAGTGAGACTCTGTCACAAAAAAGAAAAAAAAACAAAAAAATGCTAAACAGCCCAGGTTTGGTCTGATAAGTTCAGAAAAAAGCAAAACACTCACCTCTCGCCTTTTCTTTTCCCGCAATGATGCAGTTTAATACAACAATGGCTATAGGTATGCTGCAGAAAAATTCAGGTGAAACAGAAGGGCTTTCCTGGACGGACACAGTGGCTTATGCCTGTAATCTCAATACTTTGGTTGGCTGAGGTGGGAGGATTTCTTGAGGTCAGAAGCTCGAGGATGTAGTGAGCTGTGATCCCACCACCACATTCCAGATGGGGCATCAGAGTGAGGCCTGTTTCTAAAAAAACCCTTCACCCCTGCAAAAAAGGGATTTGCAAATACCAGCCTTTCAGCGTAAGGATCACATGGAGAAACATTAAGATACAGATGCTGAGATCCAGCCCCACTGATTCTAATTCAAAAAACTGAGGTGGGGCCTGGTTTAACTTCATCATTGGAATCCATTAAGATTTAGAACTCTCTGGGATGGAGAGTGCAAGAGAGATCCTGAAGAAAGCAAAATCACTGTGGACTGAAATGAGCAGAGAAGGTTTTTTGAGAGTGGTGAAATATGATCTGGGCTTCACGGGGGAGGGCTGTGGCCAGGCCTTGAGTCCTTGGCTCAGTGGGACTTCTGAAACAGCCTCCAAGCCATGCCCCCGCTTCCTTTGCTGGTAAATGATCCTACCTCCAGTGGCCTTGGTGCTGATGGAAATAAGTCAATCTGCAGGGGAAGCTCAGCCCAGCAGCCTCCCACACCTGGCTGGCAGCTGCTCATTCTGTGGTCGCTGCAGTTCTCTGCAGAGTCATGGCTTCCGTACCTTGAAGAAAACTTCCCCTTCTGGGACCCAGACAGCCAGTGAACCCTTAGGAAAAAAGGAATGAAATTACAGAAGAAAACTCTGTGATGTGGAGATGGAGAAGAGGCTCTTTGTTTTTGTTATTTATTTATTTATTCATTTTTTGAGACGGAGTTTCACTCTTGTTGCCCAGGCTGGAGTACAGTGGCGTGATATCGGCACACTGCAACCTCCACCTCCAGGGTTCAAGCGATTCTCCTGACTCAGCCTCCCGAGTAGCTGGGATTACAGGCACATGCCACACACTCAGCTAATTTTTGTATTTTTAGTAGAGACAGGGTTTCAGCATGTTGGCCAGGATAAAATTTTTGTATTTTTGTAGTAGAGATGGAGTTTTATTATGTTGTCCATCCTGGTCTTGAACACCTGACTTCTAATGAGCCACCTGCCTTTGCCTCACAAAGTGCTGGG